AAATTAAAATATAATAAAAAACCCATGAGGTTGTCTAGATAATAATCTTACCTTTAGATTTTATAAGATTATTCAATCTAATTTTTAAACTAACGGAGCTACACTTGTTCTGCTTTAAGTAGAATTTGCTTTGTTACGCACTTGTAAGACGGAGACAACACATGCGGCAATCACGTCCTCTTAAGGGGGCTGCAGCAGATGAAAAAAAGTGACTTTTAGACCAATAAGTTAGACAAAACTGGAGGAATTAAAAGTTACTATGTTAACTGTTACTGAAAAAAGTTCAAAACGTACAAAAATTGCTAAACACGGTGTAGAACATAGGGAAACTGAGTCGATTGGGGGCGGGGCAAAAGCTATTATTATTCAAATATTATTAAAAAAAAAAACTGATATTAAATTTGTAAATTTATGTAATCTGAGTAAAATATTGGGAGGAGGGAGGGGTCATAAACTCCAACCTTACAAATTACCTTACTACCTTATCACCAACCTTACTATACCTTGGTAGTCAGTTGTAATACATTTGTACTAAATGTATGGTTGACATAACTATAGTATATATATAAAATTATTTTAATATAGATTAAAGTTGATGTAACTATTCAATATTTGTACATCAACCATTTTATATGGTTAAATTTGAGTTACTATTTTATATAGTTGAAATTACTATAAAACAAATGGGTGCAACTATAATTTTTTAACTAATTCATTTTAGAACTCTCAACTAAACACATTGTTTAATATAACTAAATAAAACGTTATGTCAACTGAAAATTATCCAATAATTTACTATAACCATTTTTTTTCCGTGCGTCAAAGACTTCTACATACCTATTGCACTAGATAAGGAACTCGTATGAATCTTGTTTCTAGGGTGTCTGGCAAATCGACGCGGATATTTAAATGGCTTTATACAAACCTCGTCCGGTTAAATTAGAAAGAATTGCGTTCATGTTCAAATGCTAATAACTGAGTCCAAATCAAAGTTAAAAAAAAAAAATCATATTTGTTCCCATTTTCACAGTAAAAATCAACCTCGTGGGGGACCTCCTCGATGACGCCACAAGTGCCCCGTATTATGCGTGTCGAACGACCTGTGCTCGCTCGCGGTGCAGTAACAAAAGATAAATTCGATTCCGCCGAGTGGTGTGCTGCACCGTATAGATAGGTATAAGGGCACTATAGCGCACCCACGGTGATAATCCTCGTCATCATATGGCGGTGGTGGTTACCGACACTTCAAAGGGGGTCCTCGGCAACAATCTGCGACGAATCTCCTCCACTCGAGAAAACATACCCACAGTGTGGCCCTTCAAACTCCACGCGCGCGAGCGTCAACCCGACTCCTCTGAGACTCGCCACAACAATGATTCCTACAGACCTTTGTCGTGGTTCGTTCCCACCATCGTCATCGTTTCTATCACAAAACACCCCTGAGGCACCGAGGGCTACACCATTCGCCCCGGTTCCGCCGACAAATCGTCGTTATATTATATTTAGGAGAATTATATCGAATAAATAAAATCGAAATTCCCTCGTCCTATACACAGTGCAGTTATAGCAAATGTTCACTGTCTGCAGGTTTGCTCGATGCACTGCAGTGTGCAGATTTCAAAATAAACCAACAATTAAAAAATGCATAAAGGAAATATATATATATATCGCCATATCGGTAAGTATAAGCTCCTTTGGTCATCAATAGGTATGCAATGAAATAGGTCATTCACAACCAGTGGTGGATCTAGGATTTTGGATTTATTTTTTATTTTTTATTTTTTTTTTTTTTTTTTGGGGGGGGGGGGGGGTCAACATTTTCAAAATGATATTAAACACGTACTTATATAAAAAAAAAAACACTATGATTAGTAAATGGAATTTTAATTTTGTTTGTTGTAATTTTAATACATTTTAATATAACTTTAATATATACAGCAAAAATAGTTCAATCAACCATGGAGGGAAAGCCCCTCTGGCGACCCTAAAATCTACCTCTGTCTACAACACTACAGGCTGATTAGCCGTTCTATAAGAGATGCAGAATCCAACGTGGTCGTCCCCACGACGTTTTAAATTAACTCTTTCCGCCTTACTTATTATTTAAAAATAAATAAAATAAATATGTTCTATGTTCTTGTAAATATTTTTAAAAAAAAAATCGTTTTATTATAATTATAAATTATTATAATCTGTACATTTTAAAATCTTGTGATCGGACTATATACCTAGTAAAATAATATAACCATTTCCCTCTATCTGATATGTAACTGCAAACGATAACAATTGTAAATTTGCATAGGTAAGTAGTTGATATACAAGTCGGGAAAACTTTTAATAATAAGAATGTTGGAGGTATAATATCGTCTTTTGCAGAACGTGTCTATTTGTGATGACGATGACGACATTGCAACAAAATATTATTATTTAAGACGACGAGCACACGCCCAAGAAAAGTCTCCGTGACTTTTAAATTTCGTATCACATTAATTAAAATATTGTATTATAACTTAAATGGTCGGAAATGTTTGTACTTTATTCACTCGTTTGTAAACAATTTAATGCCGAGGATATTATGTTATTATATTGTGTGTTGCAAATAACAACGAAGCGATAATTCCAAGCACTGATTTTAAGCTGTTAATTAGCTTAAAATATCACTTCCCAACCATACCGACCACGAGGTAAACCACTAATACAATAAATGTATAAATAACTGCTATAGTGGAAAATAGGTACCTAGTTCCTCAAAATGAAATTGTTTTTTTTTTTATCATCAGGTGGTTTAGCCATTCACCAAAAATCTTATTATATCAAAGAGATTCACTTAGCTAATTGACACTTTACAGACTATTGTCAACGTAGAATAATATGGTTTATTATATTATGGTCATATTTGTGGTGTCAAAAATAAAAAAATACAAAACAACATCTATACGTCAGAATTGCTACCTATATGTAATGTAATGTAATATTTCAAATACGTTTACATATAGTTACCTACCAAGTTGCACGTTGTATATGGGTAAGTACTTATAAACAAGTTACACGATAAAACGTCTGATGATGACTTACAATTAAAAAAAAAAAACCCATAATCGCTAGGATATAGTGTCTAGGATTAATATAAAACAAGTCGTATTACTGCGATGGATTAAATATACTAAGTACACAGTGATGAAATGTACCTACGTAGTGTGTACCTTCTTATAAACTATTAATAATGCACGAAAAGTCATTATAGAATATCCTTGATAAATAAAACGTTGTTATAATTTAGGTAGGTGTGAAAACCACTATATACGTGTAACGATTTACGAAAAAATCGTCCAAGTGACATACGAATAACGCATGTACCTATACTACGAGAAAGGGGATCAAAGGGGAAAAATAGGCATTTCAAAAAAATCTAAATAAAAATCATTAGTATTATATGAAAAAATAATTTTAGGTGATACTCAAGTCCATCGAAATCCACTTTATCCATTACCTACTGATATGACATGTACGTTCGATAGTGCGATATCGCGATCGACATCATCACAGAGACTATAATACATCGTAATTATTGTATTATTGTCTGAGCGGTGACACTTGAGACAGTCTCTAAACCTGCATTGTTTCCCAATCTGTAGGGGGGGGGCACAAGTAATCAGCGATTACAATTTTTATTTGCTAAATTGTATTTACAATAAATATTAAATTTACATGAACGGTGAAAAAAACAAAAAGTTATTAACGATGACCGGTTATCGCGCATTCGCGCTCATAGTCTCGGACGGGGTACTTACATTTTTTCGTTACCCAAATAAATCATAAACAAATTTTGTAGAGAATTCAATTTTGCCATCAGAAATAAATAGTTAAGAATTCAAACATGTATTAGAGACCGATATTGTAAATTTAGTACATCTTTATGAAAATATAGTTAACTTCAATATAAGGAAATCTCCCCGACTTAGATTGTGGTGGAACTATATAATATTATGTGAGCTAAATGAATGGAAATCTTAAAAACACTCATTCAGCTCTAAATAATAATTTATTATGTGATGAAAAAATATTTCCTATTGTACGTCTTCTTGTTATTGTTTCTTCACCAGTGACAAGGGGCCACCCCAAAAGAACTTTTTCGCCGTATTAAGACCTATTTACGAAATACAACAGGAGAATCTCGTCGAAATGGAATAGCGGTGCTAAAAATTTTCAACGGAATATTGCAATTTCAACAGACTCTGATAAAAAATCAAAAGCACCAAGAAGACTGAAGAACTAATATTGAGTTGTAATTTTTTTTGTCAGTTGTTATGACATAAAAATACACATTTATATGGTCTTTGAATTTTTTTTACTTAACTATAGTCACGCGCATGCGCATGTCAACTTTTTTTTAAATGGCAACTCCCTGCTTTAAACACAAATTATATGCCTATTTTTTTAATGAATTTTGGTAGTTGAATCAACTTTCTAAGACCAAAATTGATCAAATTACAGCAATTCAATTAAAAAAAAAAAAAATTATAAAAAAAATGCCCTCGATTTTCAGCTTTTTGATTGTAACTCTGAAAATAATTATTTTAGGATTGTTAAAGATTGACATTTTTATAACTATTTATTACGGGGATATTCATACGTTATTTTAACTTCAATAACTAAATAATTTTCTCTTCAATTTGTGTATAAATCATAACTTATTAGGTATAGCAGAAAAAACGTAAGCTAGTATGTTGTTTATTTCTTTACATTTAATGGATCTATTAGAACGTTAAGTTATAAATGTATTTATAAATTGTTCAAATTAATTAGGTAAATAATTACCTCTGCTAATCTAATATTTATCATATTTTTCGGACATTATAGATTAAACATTAGGTTTACCTTAAAGTAAACATTTATCTGTATGACAATTTGATAAAAAATTAAATACGATGAAATAAATGAAATAACTGAACATTTCGATATTTTTCTTCGTTCAAACCGTGCGTTACTCCGTGACAAATATGCCTCATTCAGATAAAGTTAATATGTTGTTTATTTATTGGGAGTGTCAAAAAAATGCAAGTCTTGAGGCACAAACATATGCACAACGTTACCCAGGTATAATTGTCTTTATTTTTCTTTAGATAATCTTCCAAGTTAGTTTCGTTATTTTTATTTACTTCAGATAGAGAACATCCTGTCCATAGTTTTTTTTATAACTTAGAAAGGAATCTAAAAACCTATGGATCATTTTCTAAAAGGGTAAATAATTTACAACAAAGACGAGGTCATGCTTTAGGTGAAGAGGTCGTGGTAAACCTATTAGCCTATGTTCGAGCAAATCGCAGAAGTTCAACACGGCACGTTGGTAGAGAGCTTGGAATATCTCATACCACAGTTTGTAAGATATTAAAAAAATATAAAATGCATCCATATCGACCAGATTTAGTTCAGCATTTGCGTCAGGGTGATGCACCTCGTAGACTAGCGTTTGTTGAGTGGTTGATGACCAGCTTAGACGAAAATCCATTAATTTTAAACTCAATACTATGGACAGATGAATCTAAGTTTACTAATAATTGTGTAATTAATAAGTAGAATAACCGTTACTGGGACGATCAAAATCCACATTGGACATTTGAAACCAATAATCAAACTGTTTGAGGAACAAACGTTTGGTGTGGTTTAATTGGTGGTAAATACCAATGATGCTCGATGATATTCCTTTAGCTCTTTAGCCTTTAGGTAATATTATTTTTCAACACGACGGTGATCCAGCTCACAATGCTCACATAGTTCGAGATTATTTAAATGCACAATTTCAAAATTGATGGCTAGGAACTTACGGACCCATTGAGTGGCCACCACGATCACCTGATCTTACGCCACTAGATTTTTTTTATGGGGACACTTGAAAACAATAGTGTATGCCGATCCTCCTATAAATCATCAAAATTTAAAAGATAAGATAACAGCGGCATGCAATCAATTTATTGACTAATGAACAAATTACTGCTGCAACAAATAAAGAATTTATGCGGCGCGCTGAATCATGTTTTGTTCACGGCGGAGAACAATTTATCCATTAGATTTTTTTTTTTTTATTAACTTAATAAATTGGTAACCTAAATAAGAATTGAATTTGTTATTAATTATTAATACGTTCTAATAGATCCATTAAATGTAAAGAAATAAACAACACACGTTTTAAGTTTACGTTTTTTCTGCTATAATAAGTTATGATTTATACACAAATTAAAGAGAAAATTATTTAGTAATTGAAGTTAAAATAACGTATGAATATCACCGTAATAAATAGTTATAAAAATGTCAATCTTTAACAATCTTAAAATAATTATTTTCAGAGTTACAATCAAAAAGCTGAAAATCGAGGGCATTTTTTTCTAATTTTTTTTTTTTAATTGAATTACTGTAACTTGGTAAATTTTGGACTTAGAAAGTTAACTGAATTTTTTACGAATACCTATGAGCAACAATGTTATGATTTTTCCTAAAAAACATTATTTCGGGATACCATAGTATAGGTACTTATTTTGTTTGTTATTTGTTTGATAGTTTCTAGAATTTGTTCGACGTTCCTAAAAACTTCTTTTATCATGTTATTTAGTAATGATTATCCAGCCTACCACGGAGGTCAACAATTGTATTTTTACGCCATCTTTTAGAACGCTACCTTATTGTTTTAATGACCTTCAGAATTGTTACAAGACTTATTATAAAATAATATATAGGTATATATTATAATATAACACAATATGCAACTGGTAGATCTCTGACTCTTACGCCTCCCTCGTTTATGTGCGCCACTGCCATCGTCACACCTATAGAGTGGAAGGTATTATAAATGTATAATAATATAATATAGCTACCGTTATGACTGCGAGGAATTGGAGGAGGAGCGCAGTCGCCGATTGTGCGAGAGCAGGCTATATAATATATAGGTCGTGTGCATGTATATTATACATAGTGCGAAGTGTACCATTATTATTGTGTACAATAACATTATAACAATTCATCACACGACATTCTAATAATATTATATATTTATACGACGTCGTGTCGGTTTTTCTTGTTTCGTTACAGCAGCATCAGCACCTGTAGCAGCACTGACAAATCTCTAATTACATTTTTGTCCTCAGCAGACTGGATGGCGTCGACATTCGTGGTCTCGTGACGGCTATATTATTATCTGTATATATATATATATATATATATATACAGGACGGGATCGCTTCCTCAATTATATGGTGTGTATATACATTATACCTACATAGTTGTCGTCGTGGCCTCTAGATTTTAACATTACCTATACAACTAGTTACATAAAAATACGCATCAGTCCTGCAATCCAACCGGATACTTTGATATTTGTTCGAAAAATCAAACGTAAAAAATGTAAGACTCGCGGTCGGGCTCACGTACACTCACGCATCTATATATGATATATATATACATGTAAATATGTGCTATATATACATATATATATGGTTATAAACCTATCTTTACTATATGTAAATATATTGTTTTTATACATCTATATAGTTATAAACCTATCGTCATTATACATGTATATATGTAAATCTGTTATACATACGTATCTATAGACTATAGTAGTTTTAAACCTATCTCTCTGTATGTGTGTGTGTGTGCCGCACACGCGTGTACGCATGTTGTTCTCGGTGTATATAACTGAAATCGATATCCCGCACACCGAAGATACCCGTGAAGTGGCACAGTTGTACGTACTTGCCGTTCACCTTTGGAGTTTTTTTTTTCATTTATCTGTTTTATTTATTTTATCAACCGGAGGTTTCATTGTGCGTATCGTTTTTTTATTTTTATTTTTTATTATATTATATTATTACGCCACCAAGTACACGCACAGCTATATGCACGTACATAATATAGTATAAAATATGCCTATGCTCGTGCTGCGTGCACACTGGACGTACATATTGTATATTATATGTATTTACAAATAAATACGAAAACAGTAAACAAAAGTCGAACTTTTAATATGCGAGCCACATTATAACAATATTGAATTATAATGATATACGTATAGGTATACAATATACATAAATAATACTGTTTACGTTCGGTATCAACCAAAGACGCTGTAGGTACCTACTTATGCTGATGAGTCATCCGTTCTGTTTGATATTGTACAAATACTGTAACGCACTATAATTATATACCAAGTGACCCATTTTTAAAAGTAAGAAACTCATCGTTTCAGTGGCGTAGATACAATTTTTTTCTGGGGGGGTGGTGGGTTAAAGTATATTTATGATACAAGTTATTAGTTAAACTAAACGTCATTTTCATTTTTAATTAATATTAGTAATTAGTGTATTAGTGTATAATAAAATATATATAAATAATAATAATAAAAAATGTACAACCCTAACCTGTGGCGGGGAGGTGGAAACTCCTTACACCCTCCCCGTAACTACGCCCCACTGCATCGTTTCAAAAACTATTAACGTTTTCGAATATAGTTTTTACTATTGTTTTAAAAAAAGTTAATGATGACTAGGCTCATGGTTACATGGTACATGTATACTACACTGTGATGAAAATCATTAACGATTGAGTGGAATATTCCAAACCTATTTTTTCATGGATATCATGATACAAAATTATAATTATTATATTATTGTTAAGAAACGACAAATCCTTGTTGTAATAATTATGATTTTAAAATGCATTTGTCAAAACTCAAAATGTTTGTATTGCAGTTTGTCGAAAACTTGTAAAGTTGTAACTCGTTGTTACCTTTTTTTTCACCTGTTGGATTATCGATTTTCCTGCGTTTCCTTAAATGATTTTAATTTTGCATAAATAATGTTTTAGCTGTATAAATGTTATAATCTATGTCAATATCTCATTAAGTCGATAATCTGTATACTCTGTATACTTAACCATTTTTGTTTTCAGTGAATTATTTTCAACCATAAGTGTCTCATCACATACATTACTTAAACCTGTCTATTTACCAAATGCACACTATCTGTATAGCTGTCATATTATAATATTTAAGATTAGTGTTTAATTTCTGGTCAGGTGGCACTGCTGGGAGCCTTCTTATTATGTTATTTATGTCTAATGTTCCTATGTCACCAAACTTACTCATTATACCTCGTATGTTGTATAGATTGTAAATATTCTTTTAAAATAAAAAAAAAAAAAAAAAGATTAGTGTTCATGTGATAACAAATATTATTATTATTATTATTATTGTTATTGTTATTATTACATATTTTATAATAATAGACGTATGTCTATAATAAATTTAACTGGGTTCGCCCGTTTAAATTATACAAATAAATAAATCTGTGAATTTCAATACTCAGTGAAATTTTGCTTTGAAAATAAAGGTAGGTAATCGACAAACTAATTGGAAACCGTAACAGAAAAAAATAGGTATAAATAAATCCAATATCTATAATAAGTAATAGGCTGTATGTACCTATTTAAGATAAGCTAATCGACTACAAACTTTTAAGATACAGGTCTGACAGTCGACTATGTTAGAGAGACTGGAACCTTATCGAAAAGAACCTGTTTTTGAATCGGAACCCTTTGAATATTGGGAACCTAATTCTCACCAAAACCCTTATTTAAATTAATTTTAATACCAGAACTTTACCGGAACTCTTATTTAAATTAATTTAAAAACCAGAACCGATACTTTTACTTTACAATTTTTGAAGTTATACTTCTTTACGCACGGTAGTGAGGAAAAAAAAAGCGAACGGGCGGCGCGTACGAACGGGCGGCCGTACGAACCCGAAAGCGTACATGTCCGTAAATAAATAAATATTGTCATGGTAATGTTGTTTTACTATATATTATAATATATATATATATATCTGTATATATAAAACAGTAAGCTGATTGACTGCTATCAACGCACAGCTCAAACCATTGGACGGATCTGGCTGAAATTTGGCATACAGATAGCTATTATGATGTAGACGTGCGCTAAGAAAGGATTTTTCGAAATTCGCATTTTAAATAGGTGCTCAAACAGGGACATTGAGATTCAAGATGGAAATTGGAAATTTTATTTTTATTTATTAATAGTTGCCATTGGTTACAGTCTACATTAGAAATTAGCATTTATTTATTGGTTGCCATTGGTTATTCGGGCAGATCAGGTACAAGCTTGCATCAAATCAAATTATTGAACATTGCCTACCAGGGTGGCTGAGTTGCACTTACCCCAGCAAGTTACACCCAAAAGGAGTTCAACAATCATAATTTTTTTAAGAGTTGTGATTTTTTACGAGCAACCAAATTTGTTATATTAATCCACCGTATTATATCAAAATAAACTTGGTATAACTTTGATAATTTAGAGTTAAATCATACACTTCCGTACAAACAGCACGGGGTCCGCGATCTACCGCAGGTAGATTGCCTACCTGATAATGTACTGCTACGATTCAGAATTTTTATTCCGGGCAACGGAAAAGATAAGATCAATTTTGAACACCATACACCGAATATTGAATAACGAATTGAACAAAGTTTGAGTCATAACTCATATTGAGTTGATACATTTAAAGGGC